TAGCTCACAGAAACTTCAAACTCTTGGGCTTAAGCGATTCTCTTGCCTCAGCCTCCCAACCAAGTAGCTGGAACTATAGGCACCCACCACAATGCTTGGTTATTTTTTTGTGGCAGTCACGATTGTGGTTTAGCTGGCCCAGGCTAGGTTCGAACCCTGCAGCCTCCGTGTATGTTGCCAGTGCTGTAACCACTGTGCTACAGGTGCCGAGTCTATATAAGAGACTTGATCATCCTTGGGTTTTGGTGTTTCTGTGAGTCCTGGAATCAATCTGCTAAAGGTAACCCTAACCCTAACCCAGCCCTACTGGAGGGATGATCCAGTATGTATCTATTTTTGAACACAGTTGAATTTGCTAGTTGCACTAAAGATGCAGCTATAGAATTTGTAGGAGTGAAGAGTATAACAGTGAATTAACATTTTATCCATCACTTCATTAATTCTAGATCTGGAGTAGACACATTTCTTTTTTTTTGGTAAAGAGCCAGACAGTGGGCCCAGTGTGGTGGCTCATACCTGTAATCCCAGCAGTCTGGGCAGTTGAGAAGGATTGCCTGAACTCATAGGTTTGAGACCAGTCTGAGCTAGAGTGAGACCCCCCATCTCTAAAATAGCTGGGTGGTGTGGTGGGCACCTGTAGTTCCAGCTACTTGGTAGGCTGAGGCAAGAGGATTGCTTGAGCCCAAGAGTCTGAGGTTGTTGTGAGCTGTGATGCCATGACACGGTGGGGGGGGGGGCGGTGCACAAAGTGAGACTCTGTCTCAAAACAACTAGATAGTTAAGTTTACTTTTGGCTTTGCAGGTTATGAATGATCTCTGTTGTATATATTTTTTGTGTGTATGCTTGTAACCATTTAAAAATATTAAAAAATTGGAGGATCTCTTGAGCCCAGGAGTTTGAGACTAGCATGGGCAACATAGCAAAATCTGTTAAAAAAAGAAATGTGAAAATCATTCTTTGCGCCATAGGAAAACAGGCAGAGGGCCATAGTTTGCCAACCCATGCAGATAATAAACAATAGGACAAGGTGGGGTAGCTCATGCCTGTAATCCTAGCACTCTGGGGGGCCAGGACAGGTGGATTGCTTGAGTTCAGGAATTTGAGACCAGCCTGAATAAGAGCAAAATAAAAATAATCAGGTGTTAAGGCGGGCACTTGTAGTCCCAGCTACCGTGTTTCCTCCAAAATAAGACCTACCCCTAAAATAAGCCCTAGCAGGATTTCTACGCATTTGTTAAATATAAGACCTACCACGATAGTAAGACCTAGTGATGAGGCTCGGCGCCTATAGCTCAACCGGCTAAGGCACCAGCCACGTACACCTAAGGTGGCGGGTTCGAATCCCCAGCCCGGACCCGCC